TTTATTGCCGTGGAAGGTGGGTGATAAATTAAGAAACTAGTGCTTCGATCGTGATGGCTATTAAATCAGCCATACTGTTCACGATTCTAGCGCATTGACGAAAAAAAGGAAAAGAAAAGACGTGTCGCCTGAGGTTTGTAAAACTCCCTTCCCCTCTCAAATTTCACCAATAATGGTATGAAAACGGTGGGTTCTTATAACCTTGCCCGACATGTCTCCCACAAGCCATGGGAACAGGTTAAAAAATTATTGAATAACCCAGTTCCTTCGTCAGTTCTCTCGCGAATTTCTTTTAGAATGAAAAGGTAATAGAAGCGGAAAAGACAACAGATACTTATTTTCTAGTCTCCTCAATTAGCTTTTAAATATTCGCTGTTAAACTCATGAGGAAACTTTAAAAAATCACAGTAAAAGAATCAGAACTTACCGGGCTCTGGTCCCTTTTGCTCTAGGCAGTTTCGTAGGATCATAATCAGGCGGATAGTATTTCTATAAAAGAAGGAAAAGTTATTCATAATAAAGTGAAAAAGAAAAGGAAAACGAGATTCTTTGAAATACCCACCTGAAAGACTTTACGCTCAGTTCCAGTCATTTTGATGAGACGGAATTCCTTCTAGATTTTTATAGTATAGATATAAGAATTGATGGAGTGTTCGAGGTATGGATGAAAATCGAAAATGGAATAGCGTTGTGGTGAGATTCGCAGCGGCGCGCGAGGGTAACTCGTACGCCGCCGCTTGGGCTCATATCGACCGCGCGCGGCGTCGCATGAAGCGATAGAGGCTGAAGAAGATCATTATAAAGGAGAGGGATGAACAACGTTGTACGGAGCCACATGCAGTCATAAGGATTACCAAAACTTTGGTTCTACTTCATTATACTTCCAAGATACAACTTTTCCCCTCATTGCTGTAGAAATGACATACACACAGGTTGGTAGGATCCCTGAAACCTTTGAAGTTATGAAATTGGGGGAAAAATGTCTACAAAACATGAGAGGATCAGCCTTTGGCGCGGGATTTGCCAATCGATTCCCTGAGTGCGCCACGCTTCCTTTCAAAACAGAAATTATAACGGATAAAGATTCTCAACTTCATCCCACTACTGCTTCATGTTGCTACTTGCCGCAAAGTTGCATGAACTACTTGTATATGTAGTACCATTTTAAAGCGGTAGCTGGATTCCAGCGTTCCGTAATGTAACTTCGTCCTCCTTTGCAGAAATATGAACTCCTATAAAATCTAAGAGCCGAGTCTGAAAACTAGAAAAATACCGGAATTTCTGAGTTTCAGATATTTTTTCTTCCGTCTCCCTCCTATTCCGTTATGTAGCGCAACGAATCTCATGGAGATAGTCCTAGATGGTCTTAGGCCGGTCTATGTCCTCCAATGATGGTCCTAGGCCCTCCAATGCGAACCCAATACTGCATCGGTCACCAAATGAATTCCACATTCAATAATATTTCTCAAATCCCCATGTGATTGAAGACAGGATTCATGCTTCGGCTGTCATGACCATGGGGTTCGAAACTTTGAGTTGCTCCGAGTTGCCCAAATACAAAATCTCGGATAATCTATTGCAAAGGGCTAGACATTGCCGATAGCTTCAGATGTCGGGATGGTTAAGGAGGAATGCCATAGATTCGATAGTAATGTAGAAAGCTTCCTGCNAACTGCACAAGTCAGTGTGGGTATCATATGGGATTATAGTGGACCAATTTAGTATGTTCCTGATTTTAATCTTTAACTCTGTCTGAGCTTGGGCCCTTATCACTGCAGGGAGTAGATAAGGAGAGTCGCCACAGTTCTTGAGACGAAGAGAGACCGGATCGGGATGGGATCGGGACGATGATACGGAGGACTTTATGGATCGGCATAAAGTAGCGCTAAGCATAAAAAAGCTAAACGGGCCCTTTACGGAGAGAAAGGAAGGGGTGAGAATGGGGAAAGATAAGCCGTAAAAGTAATCACTTCGATCGGGTCTTTAACGAAACAACCACTACGGGGTCAAAAACATGAAGCGCTTCATACCAAACGATCTGTCTCTATAGTTTGTTTTTTGAAAGTACGGCAATGAACTGCATGCCTTCACATTCCCCCTCCCATGTTACGCTTCGATCCGATGTCACGATTCCCAAACTTCTGCTCATCTTGTGATTGCTATCGTTATTTTACCTCCCATTAGTCTGTTAATGAGATGCTATCCATCAGGTGACGGGTGTCGGACGATCAAAGGATTGTGAAGATTGTGTTGAAATATGTTCGGACGTAAACAACTTTTCTTTCTAGCCTTCTTCCCACTCGTTCAGTCTCACTGAAATGGTTTTTGTCCGATTGCACCCATCCCAAGCCACTCGGGAAATATTATTCCGTTACTCAAGTGGGAATGAAATGGACCTAAATCCTTTCTTCAAAGTCGACCTAATGCTAGTGTCGTGCTCATCGCGTGGTATCGACTGTTTACCATAAATATTACAACTTTACGAAATTTTAGCCGTAATTTCCTTTGGTAAGGAGTCGTGGTAAACTCTTTTCGATGCCTCCACGATAATCTGATAATGAACTGTTGTTAGGCTCTTCTCAGAAAGGCTTCGAGATATAGTGTCTATGAATCTCGCCATGCATCTTTACAGTTTGAGGTTAACTTCCGAGCTGTGGAACCGAAGTTGCAAAAATATTTTATTTTATATGGCTGACGTTTTGGTGCCTTCACCATCCTTTGGAGCCTGGAAAGACGAAAAACATTTGAAAAACCATTCAGTTTAGCACTATTCCATTCTACAGAGGAAGTTCAAAGGGCGTGGACTACTAGGAAGCTTCAAGCTTCATGATATTTTTGATTCTATTTGCTGCAGCCCAGCACGAGATTTGAAGGGTTTTGTACTCATGGAAGATAAAAGTAATTAAGTTTCTTTATGCTGATCGACCTTGTTTTGTGACGCTCCCACGCATTCGACTTTCATTCGGGGGAGAAGTGGTGCTTGAATCGTCTTTCTCCGGGGGGCTAGGCAGCCGATGTATGAGTTAGTGCTCTCGCATAGCCTCTCGGAAGGGCCTCGAATCTACCAATCTCGCAGAAATGGACGGCTTAGTAGTCATAGAAGTACGGCATTTGAGTCGTGAACCGTTCATGTAGTAGTGCACCACTTGGTACTTCCTACATCTGCCCATGGTCTTTCTCTCCTACTTAGGATCCAGGTTTTTTAGTATCACCAAGAATGGTGTTCACCGGCCTGAAGGCTCGGAAGGGCTGCCTGCACGACTCCCTTATCCTCATCCCTTTCTCGATTCTTTCCCGTAGATCCAGCCGCACCCATCATTCGGTAACGAGTTTGTTCCGGCAGAGCAGGTCTACCGATCGTGTTCGGGCTACGGGTCCATGAACATCTTTGTTCTGCTGGAACAGATGGTTCTGAAGATGGCAGCGAAGCCTCGATCCAGTGTCGGTACTATGACAAAGGCTCTACCAACCAGTAGTATACCTTGAAATGCCTGACGAGTGCACTTGCGCTTGTTAATGATTGATATTGCGAATTAGTCAGGAAGTTCAAATCGCATGGCTTCCTCGATACAACATCGTAACCAGTCCTTATTTATGACCTTACCGTACATAAATTGTCATTGTCATGGGCGCATCACCAAAGGTTCCGCACTTTTTTGGTCTCACCGGTCGACCGCTCATCCCTTTGTCGGATACGATCCACAGACGTATGTCTAACCAAATTTCTCCGTTTGAGAGGATGTTTTCAAAGCCCGTTTCTCTTTTGCATTCAACAAGAAGCTCAATTTTTCTAGTCACTGCACAATTTCGGATTCCATAGAAATTTCTGGATCCTTTTTTGGTCGTGTTGCCTCGAGAACGCCTTCAAGCGTGAATTTCGGATAAAGCAACATCATAATCAATCAGAAAATCAAAAATGCTTCAAGTTCTTTTTAAAATGTTTTACTGGAAGCGTAGAGGGGTACCACTGGCTGATATTCCCTCTGGGATCCTTCTTTTGTTTCCACTTGTTTCTTTTCTTTTTTTTTTCTGTGAGACTAACAACCTTTGGGAGGGTGATCTCTTGTCATTTTGAGTGTTTCTTAACTGCCGAAAATACTCTTCCTATCTTTCTTTCTCTAATGGATTATTGATGGATTAGGTGAAGAAAAAGAGTGTTTCGAATAATTCTGATGGGTCCCAGAAAAAAATTACCGTAACTTTTACCTGCTATTTTCCTGTTTTTTTATATGCCATTTTAGTTGTGATTTTTGTCGTAATTTTGTGGAAAATCGAAAGTTGCTAAAGGAAAATGAGAATAGCGCTTCACGTTGTCCATGACAGCCTGAATAACTGATACTTTCCCCTCCAGTTTGTTGAAAAGTACCCTCCCGCCCTCTCTCCCCAAGACGCCACCCCTCCCCCCATCATTTGAATTCCCTGTTGGTCATAGCACATTTAGGCGGAACTGCTTTCATGAAAAGATGGTAGATGGTCCATTTTTTAGGTTGAGCTTGGCCTCATAATTTAGGGGGATATGTGTATGGTGTGAGTGGT